AATAGCATTGCATTCCAGACAATATCAGATAAAGAGTTTATCCTAGAAAAACAATAGAACAAAACGCAATCTCTCACCACCGGTAGGTCAGTTGTAAGTTTACAGACTTACTACGCTAAAATCTGAGGTTCGGTTCCCACATTGGACAGAGCGTAGATGTCTCATTACGTAGCTTTGCTCTTAAACAATAACAACAACAAACGCAATTTACTGTGATATTTTCAGGTTGTCAGTGCTATGGAGGCCGAGATTCTTTAGAGTAGGTGTATGTGATTTGTTGGCGATAAATTTCAATAATAAACGGACAACACACAATCCACTTGTTTTAAAATAATACACTCAAAACAAGTCAAACGAATGTCCAAATATTCGTAACACTATTGGTTATCAAAGTTGTATCCGGAGCTTTAAATAATTGTTGTTGTTTTTTTCGTGAAAGTCCACACAGACGGGTTGAACTACTTTAGAACACCCTTTAGCAAGGCAAATTATTTTCTTCTATTTCTGTTATTACAATATAAGGCTGTGATACTCACTTTAAAATCACCACTATAAATATTAGTTATCACAGTTGTATCCAGAGCTTTAAATAATTCTCTCCTTTTCGTCAAAATCCATACAGGTGGGTTCAATTTCTTTATAACACCTTTTGGCGAAACAAATTATTATCTTCTATCTCTGTTATTACAATAAAAGGCTGGATATTCACTTTAAAATCACCCATTACAGCTAAACTCACATGCAGTCCAACTTCACTTTCACTAACTTCGAGTAACGTGACATAAATTCACAACAATTGAGCTACACAACAAACTTAACACTCACGCTTTATAACTATCTAAAATCTAAATCATAACTCTCGCATTAAACTTAAAAGAAACAGTCGTGTATAACTAACACAGGTAAAACCGATTTCCCGAAAAGTATGAAATAGGCAAATCCACAAAATCAGTAAATTTCATCAAGAAGTAAGAGCAGTGTTCTATAGTAGATAGGTTGACTGAGTTTTAAGTTGGGTGAGAAATAAACAGATTAGATGCGTTTGAAGGACAGTGAAAACAATCTTTATTTACACACAACACAAGAAAAAAGAGAGAGAGAGAAAAAAAACAGTATTCCTACCTGTGTATACGAAGTGGATGGTCGTATCTACGGGATCAGTGAACAGCTTGTTAACTTTCTGTCTTTCAAGATGAAACTCTGGCGAATTAATCGTGATGCAAACCAAATAGAACCGAACCAAGAAAGTACGCCTGAAGTTAATAGGTAAACTAGCTTGCTTTGTCCAGTTGATAATATGACCTCGTGACCTTTGTCAATGTCAAACTCAGCCAGCAAAAGATATTACAGCGCTAGTCCTTTCAACTCGAATGTTATATGTTACTGCAATATCCTCTCTCACAGTATATACATTAACTACTGTAAAAAACAAAGAAACAAAACAACCAGAACAAGGTAATCTCAACTACTTTCTGAGCCATATATTACCATTACAACACGGAACCTAAACAACAATTATTTTAAATTTCTATGTCACTAAAGCAAATAGAAAGTATATGATATCCCTGCATATCATTCTACCAACGTTGATTTATTGATGATTTTCTATATGTGTTTTATAATTTAAGCATATCTTTCTTAGAGCATCAGTTGTTAGTTTCTGTAACATGTTAATAGGAAAACGTTATGTTTAGGAAAAAAATTACAAACACAATCTTATTCATTTTATGAACGTAAGCTAACTCACTCACATATCATACATAGTAGGAATCAATTTCTAAGATACTTTTTCAGCATGAAATTTCAAGCGACAACTATATTATGGGTTTTTCGGTTTTCTAAACCATACAGAAGATGGGTTTTTATAGTTACAGAGAAAATAAATTTGTCATTAAAATGGTAGCAGCTTTTTTAATTTTTTTTTCTGTTATGGCAGTGGCGTAACTTCGATTTTTGATCTCCCCCCCTCCAATGTAAGCACAGAATAAATGGCTATATGGCTTAGCTTTCGCTGGGCCTCCTGAGCTCTTGCTCCCCCCACACACACACTCACTAATTGCGGGTCTCTGCTGCACCGTAGCGTGTCACTGTCTTATGGCATCCATAGTAAACAAAAGTTGATAAAAAAATACATAGCCCTATAACCCGAATGATTTTGAAAGGTAGATGTTCATTCATCAGTTTGCCCCACAGTATTTTTTTAATTGATTGTTTTTTTAATTATATGTGCTTTCCTACCATCACAAAACTAAAGTTGATAATAGATATTTTAGATTCCCAGCCGTCTCTGCTTTTCTCAAACAAAGAAAATACGAGCTCAACGAAAACACGTCATTCCTTTACCAATCTTATATAAGACTTATTCAAACTTTAAGAAATATCCAGTAATTACAAACATTATTAACATTATAAAGCTATGTGAATTATTAAATGAAAGACGAGAATCAAATGGAGATCCAGCATTAACTAAAGTACAGCGTTAGCATAATTGGCAATTCAAAATCAACATATGTGAAGTCGGAGGATTTCTTATTTTTTATTCGCGCAACTGCTATTTTGGTAACTAATTTTCTCATAGGAGTTATTTTGTTTAGAAAAATCTCGAAAACAATATAAGAACTAGTATAGATAAAGATGTGACAAGAGGGGTTGTATTAAGCCTACTAAGGGCCAATGTATTTATGAGGGTCCAACATGAAACTGTATGTGTTTTTTAATAAAAAATTCAAGATTGATTGGGTTTCCAAAGCCTTTGGAGTCCTGGGGATACAGCCTCATCAGTGGAACTCGAGAAAAGAATGTGTAGGAGACTTCTTCCTTCCTGCTGGGGGTCAGGTTTCCCAAAAAATTCTTGGAAAATCGTATCCTTAACTACATTTTTTGGGCACTTGGAGCACATGTTTTAAACTGTTATTTAGTATAAAATGACAGAACAAATCAAGGGAAAATGCAGTTATATAATTACATGCACATTTTATGCAAAATTCGACTAATTTCTTAAAAGATGTACAGTGGTCAAAATGTTAATCAAATGATATTTTAAACATGCTTAACTTAAATTCTTTGGAGTTAAATAATGTCTGAAGAATAAAAGATAATTATCTATATCTTGGAGATATCTAAAAGTAATACTCTGAAATGTACTGGGGAGGCATCTGGAGTACACAAATAATAAAATTCAATGGTACACATGCAACCTAAGAAAACTGTTGATTGAGTTGTAAATATAGAAATATGAAGTAATATTAATAGCTATACTTTGGCGATGGGATGAATATAATTACATTTTATTGAAAACTGTTTTTATTTTTTATTTTTTTTTGTAATTACCCAAGA